TTTTAATCTTCTATTTTTGATTTGGTAGGTACACATATTAGTTGCGTTCCAGATGCTTCACGATTTGCAGGTTTTTACAGGTTTTTTTCGTGTATTTCGAACTTTTTTTTGGTTTGTCGAAAGCTGCAATTACAACTTCTATACTCCAGCCTGACTCTGATCGAAATGGAAGCATGGCACGCTCTTATTATCACAGCGCTCTTAGCTGTAGCTGTAGTCATGAATCCCTTGAAATGTTAAATTTAGGGGGCTGTGAGTAGGATAACAAACTAACTACATCTACTGGTCTCTGGGGATGCAAATGTGTAAATATATATATGTACATCCTCATATATAGTACATACATATGTATACATACGCATTTTTATTTGTGCTATGAGTCCCGATTTGCAAATACTGATAAATTTTCATTGTACACATTGTACGCAGCGGTGAAACACTGCTGTTAAAAATAATGCAAAATATCACTTGAAATGCCTTCATGCTGTCACTCGCTCCATCCGCCAAATGTCATACCCTGTGTACCCACTTGTTTCCGGTTATTATGATGGTGGCTCCCTGCACTTCTGGCCACCTCAACGAGCTCATATTTTTTTCGTTGTTGCTCGTTGTGTATAGCAACCCTCAAATGTCTCATGCTTGTCAGCATTACACTCACTCAAACTCGTGAGTGTAACCTGTAGGAAAAATCTGGACAACTAAGAATAAATTTTCAGTTGAAGCGAGAACTAGTTGCATTAACACTGGCGGTTTCCTACAGAGTTCGAAAATATACAACTACACATTTGTATTCAAAAGAAAGTCAAAAAAAAACGAACAAGTAATTGAGTGCAGTTACACATACATATGTATGTATGTGTGGGTGTAAGTGCATTTGCTGCGTGCTCATGCATTCTGTTGATGTCATCGTCGCTTATGGCACGCAGGGAAGCGTTAACTGGGTTGACTGTGGGCAACAAGGCGGCTGCAGCTTCAATGCGAAGCGATTGTATAAGCGCATATGCATGTGTGTATATGTGTGCACTGTGCACGTTAATGGCGACTTGTATACGAATATATATACAGACATTTTGATTTTTGTTGTTGTCTGCCTGCATGTTTGGCGGCAACTTGGCCAAAAGATAAGTATGTTGGAGGAGATTTGAGTTTGCACACTTTTGAAGAACTTTACCATCCTGCATACGAGTATTTCACTATTTTTAAATTATTTTCAAATCCTTGTACAAGCAAATATGCTGCACGCTTGAAAAATGTGCAAGCAGACAAACCTGTGTAGTTGTGTATTCTACTCAAAGCACGTGTGATCTTTTCAGTTTCAACTTTTCGAGTATGCTTCAGATGATTTAAATGTAATTAGTTTTATTTGAATATTTCGAATGAGTTTGCTAACGCAATTTGATTGCAAAATTTGTGTGAAACTTTGAATTCTATTTAAATTATAAAACTGGAGGAAATATTTATAAATAGTTTAATTCTTTTCACCTAAACGTTTAAATGACCTACTCGAGCTCGATGAAAGGTGAAATTTAAGCTCAGCATAAAGTAAAGAAATGGAAAAAGGATTACATAATTAAGTGATAAGCAGTGAATTTTGAAGTTATGTTTAAAAATGAGCTCTTGCAAGCCGTTGTGGGTATAACTTACCTACCAAATCTCAGTTTTTATCACCCTAATGTCAGTGAATTGAAGCTCACCAAAAATCATTAAACTCTTGCTTAGGAATTATTTGCATTATTCCAGTAGAACTATTAAAAAAAGTAGGTACCACCGAAAAATGTAATAACCTATTCCTAGGTTCTTCAAAAAAAAAATATTTTTCGAAATTGCCTCGAAAAAATATTTAAGATTCAGGCGTGTACAGCGAACTTCTTTTTCTCGTACGGTCTCATGTACGTTTGGTGCGGTTCTACTGGACCAATTTCGAAACCAAGGATGGTAAAAGTATTTTGATATATTTAAGTTGATGAGTACAGTTTTTATTATATCAATATCAACGTTTAAAAATTTACGTATTTTTGCATACTTGTAGTTGTTATTGCAAGCTATTAAGTTAGAGTTGTTTTTGCATATTGTTTACTTTGTATTTTGTAATAAAGATAAATATAAATATGAAGGAGGAAATGATATAAATCGATGGAGATCGAAACGAAAATGTATTGAAATTTTTTCATAAGAATCGAAATATGTATGTATATCTTCTCATCTAAAAAAATTGTATCGAAATTTATCGAGTCCTTGAATTTAATAGTTATCCGAATATATATAGTTATCAATCTTAGTCAACTAAATAGTCTTAAAAATGAGCTTTTTAGAATTCTATATCTTATTTTTATTACTGATAATATGAATTTTTCTTTACATGAATGCCTTGAGCCGTTGTGGTATACCAAAGAATTAAAAAATCTTAAAAATTTAAGGAATAAGGTCTATAAAAAATTTTAAGTATCAAACTCTTATCACATAAGGAAAAATATTTGGATTATTCGAGAGAGTTTAAATCCTTGCGTAAAATTCTTCATAGAAATTATGTTCAGAAATTTGAGCTTGAAATTAAATCGAACCCCAAGGCCTTTTTGGCGGTACGTCAAATCAAAAAAAGATTGCCCAAGCATTCCGTCGGAAGTTTTCTATAATGGAATACATGCAAATTCCTCTGTAGAGGCTGCAAATCTGTTTGCAGGCTTCTTTAGCTCAAACTACGACCCTGAGGTAGTTTCTACTGAAGATAGTTATTTGAATGTGAATACCTCAATTGATTTTGGTGCGCTCTCCATTACGCTTGATGACGTGGTTAATGGCATCCAAAATTTTAAATCCTCAAAGCAAGCAGCTACTGATGGTCTGTCCCCATGTCTTCTCCAAAACTGCCCGCTTTTGCTTACCCTCTTCTACTAATGCTCAACGAATCTCTTAAATATGGTGAATTTATTGATGCTTGGAAGATTACCTTCATCACTCCCATTCACATAAGTGGTAATAAGATCAATATTGCCAACTACAGACTCATATCAAAGTTATCTACAGTCTCTAAGTTATTTGAGTACATTGTAAAACAATCGATGTACTTAGCAACCAAACGGCTGATTTCAGTTAATCAACATGGCTTTATGTCTGGTCGATTAACTGTTACAAATCTAACCATTTTCTCCGAATTTTGTCTGCCTGCTTTTAATAATCGCATGCAAGTTTACACTGTCTATACCGACTTCACCAAAGTTTTTGACAAAGTTAGTCATTCCCTCCTAATTACCAAATTATCTAGTTTAGGTTTTCACTCTACCTTTCTGAAGTGGGTAAAGTCTTACCTTTCGTCACAAAAGTGTGTTGTCGTAATCTTTTACTGCGACCTCTGGAGTACCTGAGCGTAGCATCTGAGGTCACCTTCTCTTTGTGATTTTTATTAATAACATATGGGTATTTCCATACGTCGCATACGTGACAGTCGTACGTTTCAATGTGATACAAACAAGGAATACCATTCGTTTTCTTTAACTTTTTTATGCCATTATATAGCACATAATTAGCTCTATATTTAACCAAAAAATGAAAACAATCGAACTGCTTGCTGAAATATAAGAATTTAAAGTGAGTATCGTTACGTGACAAAAAATGGAAGTAGATTTTTTCTTTTCTTACAAAGTCGCAAAACTCTGCGAAATGGGTGGATGGCTATTTTCATGAAACTTATTTTAATATGATTTAGAGCAATTCTAGTTGTTTTTAGAATTTTTTGAATTAATGCAACTTGTTTCAATTTTCTTTTACAACCCCAAGTGTGAAACGTAATTATATATATTTCCATCGTTATATTTTTGTTAATATTGCTTTTAAATGAATTTTTAACGCAAATAACACAGGCATTTTATGTATATACCTTATATTTTGACTTCAGCGCTATTTCAGGGTGAATTTGTTGGAAATCTATGACTTAATATGTTTCAACTACATACGCCAAATTCGAACCAAATCGGGCCATAAATACGGTTTTTCGAAATGTCTCAACCTTGGCGCCACCTAGGAAGACTATTTTACGCAAACATGATACTACTTACATAGCCAGTATATATTTTAAAAAGCAGACAAATCGGCTCGTAAATACGTTAGATATAAGATTTTTATTTTTTTTGTGGTGGTTGACCTTCCGATGGAAACACCCATATCTAACTGCTTTAACCATTCTGGATATCTTTTATATGCCGACGACTTAAAAATGTTCACTACGGTTACAAATCAGCTTGATTCTGTCAAGCATCAGGCCGATCTAAATAGTGTTGTTGTCTGGTGCCACAGAAATCAACTACAGTTAAGCATAAAGAAGTGTTTTCATATCGCATTTTATAAGTCTTGTTCCCCGACCCCCACTTCTTATTATATCTCTGGCTTATGTCTAATCAATCGTAATGAAATTTCTAATCTTAGGGTGGTTTTCGACTCTAAATTTCTTTTTAATAGTCATCTAAACTATACTATAGCAAAGCACTATTCTATACTAGCTTTTATTCGCCGTTTCAGCTCTGAGTTTACTGACACGTACACTCTGAAACTACTCTTTACTTCTCTCGTCCGCTCTAAAGTAGAACATGCTGTCCTTATCTGGAGGCAATACCACAATTCCGATATTGAAGGGGTTGAGCGAATACAAAGAAAATTCATACGTTTCGCACTCCGTTCACTTCAGTTTGTTGATCCGATTCCTTCTTACACTGCCAGATGTCAGTTAATCGATCTGAAATCTCTAAATAGCCGAAGGTCCATTCTTTCGTTTACTTTTGTATATGATATTAATCGAGGGGCGATTGACTCTCCATTCCTACTTGAATACATCTACTTTAATATCCCCACAAGAGAATCATGAATTTTTTTTTCTATATCGCGTTAGAACACTTTACGCTTCTAACGCAACTATTTATAGAGCATTACAACAATTTAACCTTCTCTCGTATTCATCAGATATCGATTTCTCTATGTCAAAACCT